TTGGTTGTATGGCATCCCTAAATAGGTATATGTTCAAACTATGGGTGCAATTCGGGTTAGCCTGCTTTGGGCTTGGATTCATTCAAAATTGGACAAAATCTCAACCCAATCCTGCTTAAGTTGCACTACTAATTCAATCCGATCCATTGATTTTATCCCAATTAATAATTGGGTTGACTCCGGTTCTTACCTATCTCGAACCGATTCAAACTTGGAATCAATTGTCTTATTAATTATGTATAATTCTTTCTTAGTTTTCTTATAATTTTATCATATTTTATATTTAAAATGATAAATTCGATAAATAATATATAAGTTAATGTTAATTAAAAATGTTTAATTTATTAATATTTAAATAATTTAATATATTTGTATCAATTTTATTAAGGTCATATTATCAAATTTTAAATTATTATTTAAATAAAAAATTAGATTTTAGTATAATCAAATCTATCGGGTCTTGACCTAATAGGCTCGACTATTAATTGGGATGATTATACCTAATCAAGTTTTAGTATAGCCAGATTTATCCTGATTAATAATTAGTTTAAGACTGGTTATATCTAAACCCGATCCATTGATAGCCATACCCGCATATAAATGCATAAATTCTTAACATTATAGCAATAAGCTCCGATGCGCATATGTCGCTAACGACAGCATGACACCTTGCTCTTTGTTATGGCGTACCACAGTTTGATTAATCGAAATCGGTACCATTGGTTTTTTCATTTCTCTAAACTGAAACCGAACCAGTTCCACCAGTTAACTAGTCTGTCAATTTCAGTTTTTAATAGGTTTGGTTCTTTAGTTTTTTGGTTTTTTATATTTATAATATATATTATATAAATATATGTATAATATTATATTATAAATAATAAATGATATATAATATAGTATAAATATTATAAAATACCAAACCGAAACCGAACCAATTGATTCAATTAACCGCATTTTTTATTTGATTTTCTTGGTTCGGTTTGGCTTTTTGGTTTTTTCGGTTTTTCATGGACACACCTAGTAAGTAACATGCATTAGTTTGAACGCCACAAAAATGTTGTCGATGCCGACATTTGCCATAGCTCTATTCTTCCCCCACCCACGCACCCACAGTTACGTAGCCCATCATAAATTGTCATGCCCAACAACCATTCCAACAACCGAACAATAAAAACCCCTTAGGGGTGTTCTTTTTTTGGATTTTCAGAGGGGGAAAGTTGGTCTATGGAATTTTGATTCCCATTGACCAAGAAACCCATGTTCATTTATCAAATTTATGTGGGGACTGGTGAAAGTTTATTTTCTGGGTATCATTTACCTCCCATCTCTTAGGTGGCTAAATTAACTTAACCACCTAGGGGAAAGTTGCCAATACTTGGATGGGATAAAAAATGCCCCTTTTAATAATGGAATTTTTATGGTTAAGATGGTTGTTGCCTTATTAACATGGAAAATAAAAGAACATGGGTAAATGCACTTACCCAAGTAAGTCTTTATTGGGAAACACTTACTCAAGTAAGTGCATTTACTCGGGTAAGTGACTTACCAAAAAGCAAACGGGGAATTAATACTAAGTTTCAAACCCACTTAGTAGGAGATGACTTTTCATATGTACAACAAGACATTTGTCTCAAATCGAATGGAAATGCAATAAAAAGTGAAGTACATGTACATGTGGGGTGTTTGTGGAGCACAAATTTGTAGGATGTTTGGTTCCGCTGGTGTTTATTGAAAAAACTCCTTCACATGTGCCACATGTGCATTTGTGTTTATTGCATATAAAACCATTGCTGGTTTCACAATTTATCAAATAAATGCTAAGAAATTGAAATGCCTGGTTTTTGTGCATGGGGCATTTGGGGAAACATCATGTTTTCATTTCTCCCTAATTCTCTATCGTTTCTTGGAATGAAATGATGATGTGGCATATTTTTATGGGGGTTAATCTAAGGCGGAAAGTAATAAACGTTTAAAGTGATGCCCAACCAAAAAAAAAAACAAGAAATGTTTAAAGTGAAAAAACGTTTAAAATAATATAATACAATAAATGATATGTAAACTCCAACTAAACCAAACATATACTTGATCTCTTATCATTCATGGGAAGAAGTTTTCAATATACATATACTGCCGTAGTATCATATGGGTAGGAGAGGAGATTTGAAATCGTTCTGTTGTGTCACAAGATCAATTTGACAATTAGAGCCTTGTTTGGTGCATCTTTCTGTACAGTATTTGGCTGTTTACAAGCTAGGCAATCCCTGTGGTTTTTTCTGTTTGGTTCATAACAGATCTAGCTGCCAAAAGTCTATACTACTTAGATCGTCATGTAAAAAATCAATACATCTTGTGACCGTCACAGAAAATCTTCCTCAAAAGACTTACCAAACGGTCCTTACATAATTTAACTCTCAAATGATAGGATGTATTGGGTATTGAAAGGTTGCATGTTTTATTTCCTACGCTTTACTTTTCGTTTCTCCACTCTCCCATTTGTCCTTTCCCAATTGGCTAACCATCAAAAGTTCTGTCAGTTGTCCCATATATCAATCTTTATGGAAGAGTTCACCTGCCACACATAGTTTGAATGGTCTACAATTATATTCTCAGCCCTTGAGCAGCTTGGAATCATTGTGTTACGTGTCTGTGTTTGCTCCACATGGGCAATTGAGCTTTATCCAGTTATAATCCTGTTTCATTACGCTGAGCAAGCGAAAACAATTTGTAGTGATTCTGTCTTGACCTCTTGGGTTGTCTTGGCCTGGGTAGGTTAAATATACTTTCTAGAGACACCATTCGGCGATTCCTACTCAAAATTCATTCTTACGCAAAATTTTAATTTTATGATAAATTGTGGATTAGTACCATATATATACTTTATTTTACTATCCAAATTTCAAAATATAGTATAGTAGTTCAAAAATGTCAATTTGCTATTTATTATAGTTGTTCATAACTTATTTGTATGACGTGACAATATGTGTTATTTAAGGGCCGTTTGGTGTGTTTTTTTGAGATTTTCTTGTAGTTCTGATAGTCAAAAGATGCATTAAACTTAAGACATAAGATTTGGGCTGCTGGAAGACAGTTTGGCAGACACTTGTCTTTTTGAGCATCTGCCTATGTCTTTTTGTATGAGATTAAAACTCGAAAGATGTAAGAAGTTTCATTTTCCCGAAATCAGCCCAAAATGGGCTTCTTGTATCTTTTTAGTGCATTGTCTTTTGGCGGCTAGATCTTTCATGAGCCAAATAGGAATAGACAAAAAATCAGTCTTCCCAACTTATAAACAGTTGAAAGATCGCATGGAAAGATGCACTAAACGGGCCCTAAATTAAAAAAAAACAATTAAAACTATACTTTTTAGTATTGTTTAAACCATTTTACCTTAATTATCAAACATGTACCTATTTTGAACATTTCAAAATTATGCTTTCATTGCCTGTTAAAAACTGGTAGGCTGTTATTGTGTCCTTTCACATGTTAATTAACAATTTTTTACTAAACCGACAATTTTCATGAATTCATGATGCATTACAATCATACATGCTGAAGTTGTCGTAACAAAGTGCAACTAACCCTAATTAGGGGTGCAACTTGGGCGGGCTCAGCCCGAGCCTTAACCGGCCCAATATGGAATTTCATACGGGCTGGGTTTGGAATTTTGGTCTTTGGACTGGGTTCGGGCCTAAGAAGTCAAGCTTTTTTATTTTTTTTCATCCGGGCCCAAGCCTGACTTAATTATATACATTTATACATTTATATATATATATATATATATATATATATATATATANTATATATATATATATATGTATATATGTACATATTGCATACATATTTACATATTATATACATAATTTTAGAGTGGGTTCATTAACCAACTCGAATCCGACTCGTGCCCGAGCCCAACCCGAGTACATCAAATTACAAGACGGACTGGACTTGCGTTAGGAAAATCGGGCTTGACCTCGGGCTCAGGCCTTAAGCCCAAATTTTAGGGCCGAGCCTAGGTTGACTATAAACTCGGTCCAACCCATTCGACTTGCACCCCTAACCCTAATTTATAACCCCTGTCTCCTTAATGAATTATTATACCAAGCGCACGCCTAGATCCATATACTCTCCACTCGATTGGTGGTGCCTTGTTGTCACGGGGGTAGATCTGCAGCGGAAGAAGCCCATGTGGCGTCTAGGCCAAGGTAGGCCAGGACAAGCCTGATGTGTGCTTAGGGATAGGAGTTGCCCATTGAGATGGCTCCACCAAGGTCAGTAGCATTGGATCATGACCTCAAGTCGCATGGCTGAGGCTCTCGGTTGACTCTTGCCGGTCCATGGGAGGCACCTCTTACGTGTTAAAGGGGGAAGGCTATGATGTGAGGCGATTTGGTGCCGATGTGAAGGGTCTCCTATATGTTGATGATGTAGGCACCCGATGTGCTGCGGATGATAGGCAACCATTGGGCCGGAACACAGGGGCAACAAGATAACTCATTCAGCTTGGACAAGGGACTGGCGAGGTAATGGGTCATGCTTGAGCTAGGCCCGCGTGCCAAGCCTCCCTTGAGTGTCGGTGGCGTAGTGTCGGTCCATGCGCTCTCCCCGTGAGCATGTGCGCCCATGAAGAACCCTGATAGCCATGCTAGCCATTAACCAAGGCCGCCCCGTAAGGGATGTTGGTCCAGGAGTGTCAAGATTAAGCATCCAAGAAGGTTGAAGATGACATTAATTCTCCCCAAAATTTTAATATGAAAAATGATGATGATATTTCCTAAACGTAAACCCGCCAAGCGTAAGCAATGCTAAGTTGTGGTAGGTAGCGAGTAGATTCACATTATAGTCGAGTTGTTGAATTTCCAAGCATTTTAATGGGGCCACGTAGCTAGGTTGAACCTTGAACATTCTAATGGTCCATGGTCCATGGGACTAGTTAATAGTTACCATTTCGTGACGTGTAGGAATCCAGATTAATTTATTCATCATACAAACCACCGTGGTGCATTGCCTCCAGAGATGACACACTGGCTCGCATTTTAGTTTTTATTTAAACGCAGAAGTCCGTCCTTCTGTAAGAAAACGGAATTGCTTTCTACCTGCGCAGTGGACTTGGACGAGAAGGCCATGACTCCTTTGGCTCTTGTAGCTCTAACTTCATTCGTCGCCTTCTTAATCTATTTCTTCCTCAACTTCAGCAACCGATACCCTCGTCCACTTCCTCCCGGTCCTAAGCCATGGCCTATCATCGGCAACCTCCCCCACCTCGGTCCGGTGCCCCATCACACTATCGCCGCCCTGGCTCGTGTTTACGGCCCTCTCCTCCATCTACGCCTGGGATCGGTGCACGTCGTCGTCGCAGCGTCGGCGTCTGTTGCTTCACAGTTCCTGAAGACTCACGACGCTAATTTCTCGAGCCGGCCGCCTAATTCGGGTGCAAAGCACATTGCTTACAACTACCATGACCTTGTCTTCGCACCCTATGGTCCTAGATGGCGCTTGCTTAGGAAGATCTGCTCCGTCCATCTCTTCTCCGGCAAGGCTCTGGATGATTTCCGTCACGTCAGACAGGTTCTCTCCGTTTTCTTTTGACTTATTCCTTGGATGACCCGCCATGGAAGGCCCAGCAACAGACTGAGTTGTATTGTGGATGCAGGAGGAGGTGGCAGTGCTGACGCGGGCACTATCTAGATCAGGGACGAGTCCTCTGAACGTAGGGCAGTTGTTGAACGTATGCACTACAAATGCACTGGCGAGAGTGATGTTAGGGAGGAGAGTGTTCGAAAGCGACGATGGAACTGGGAACCGGAAATCGGACGAGTTCAAGGAAATGGTGGTGGAGATAATGGTGCTGGCCGGGGTGTTCAACATCGGCGATTTTGTGCCTTCGCTGGAGTGGTTGGATTTGCAGGGCGTTGCTGCTAAGATGAAGAAGCTGCACGCGAGATTTGATGCGTTCTTGAATAAGATCTTGGAGGAACACAAGGTCAAAGGTGGTGGATCCGGAAGGCACACAGATTTGTTAAGCACCTTGCTTTCTCTGAAGGAGGACGCAGACGGCGAAGGAGGCAAACTCACTGATACAGAAATCAAAGCCTTGCTTTTGGTCTCTCTCTCTCTCTCTCTCTCTCTGAGAAAGGAAAAAATGGACACTAATTAATGAGTTAACTCTGTGATTGCAGAACTTATTTACAGCAGGTACCGATACCTCATCAAGCACGGTGGAGTGGGCGCTAGCTGAACTCATCAGACACCCTGACGTCCTCGCCCGAGTCCAACAGGAACTAGACTCGGTCGTGGGTAAGGATCGGCTGGTGACAGAATCCGATATCGCCCAGCTTACATTTCTGCAAGCGGTCATGAAGGAAACGTTTCGGCTCCACCCATCAACACCGCTCTCTCTCCCCCGAATTGCTGCTGAAAACTGTGAGATCAATGGATTCTTCATTCCGAAGGGCTCCACCCTTCTAGTCAATGTATGGGCTATCGCCCGTGATCCAGCCGTATGGCCTGAACCTCTCAAATTCCGGCCTGAGCGGTTTCTCCCAGGCAGCGAGCATGCCCATGTCGACGTTAGAGGCAACGACTTCGAGCTCATGCCCTTTGGTGCAGGCCGTCGGATTTGCGCCGGGATGAGCTGGGGCTTGCGCATGGTTCTTTTCCTGACTGCAACTCTGGTTCAGGCATTCGATTGGGTGCTACCAGAGGGCCAAACACCAGAGAACTTGAACATGGAGGAGGCGTATGGTCTGACGCTGCAAAGAGCTGTTCCGCTATTGGTACACACACGCCCAAGGTTGGCTCCACACGTCTACTGTGCCACGTCTACAGCTCAATAAGAAATGTTAGTATATTATTGTTAATTATTTTATGTTCCTACGTTTCTCATCTTTCGTTTATTTTCTAGTTAGTTCTTTGAATGGATGTCAGCTTGCTTTTCTTCTTTTATTGAACAGTTAATGCATAATATGTTATTCTGAACCAACACTGGTGTTCTTCCTTTCAAAAAGGAAATAGGAAATTACAGGTCGACTTCAGATGGTTCACTCTGAGTTGGGTGGAGCCTAGTCCTCTGTGGCTAGAATATGTTTTGATTTCAGATAGACTTTTTTCCTGCCTGTGAGTTCTCTTTTTTGGTGTTTGTTTGTCTCTTTGTTTTAGGTAGTTCACTCTATGTTTTCCCTCTTGAATGAATTACCTACTTTCACTATTAAATATATATAAATAAATAAACCACGGTTGTTATTACCGAAACAAGCTTTTTTCAAAAAAAAAAAAGGGGTTTTATAGTTCAGATTTTCTGAGATGGACGGCAATCAACTTATCCCAAAAAAAATTACCGAAACTAGCGGTTGACAAGGTCTTGAGGTGCATTTTCATTGATTCCCGATCAGTATCCTGTATTTTGGCTCGATTGACAAACAATTCAATATTGAACTATTGAAACGCGAATGGCATGTGAAAAAGACAAAAATACCTTTTAAATATCATATAATTTTCTTTATCAATGTATACGCTAAACTCAAAACCAACCCTTTGAAGATTATATTCACACTATCACACAGAACCTTGGGAAGGTCAGAACGTCTTGCCAAATACCTTCACTAGAAATTCAGAGGTAATCAATCCATCTCCATTGATAAAGTTAGAGGAGAAGTGTATTGGGATGTTTATGACTGGTTATTTAGTGCTGGTTTGAGGCATGCATTGTTCATGTTTAAGCCAATAACATCATCATCCACATTCCCATCATCGACATCACTTCATCGTCACCGTCGTCTTCATCGTTGGCATCCACTATTATCATCACAGCAAACGCCGACTTCTGGGTCAGCAGAGGAAGATAGTTCTGGTGGGTCATCTGAGTTTTGCTTATTTATCTATGCTTGAAATGTTGAATGAGCTAAAACACAGATTGTATGACGATACCGTCATGGTATAGACATGATCACCCAAAAAGAAAAACTGAAAAGAGTTACATAAAGAAAGCAGTAGCCAGTAGATGATGGTGGTGATTAAGATTAGATTGTGTGAGTCTGAGAGTGGGCTAAAGTTGCAGAAGCAGCAATCTAAGATGGACATCACGTGGGAGGAGGAGAGGGGTTGGGCAGAAACTTGGACAGGTCAGAGTGGAACAATATCATCTGCATACAGTGCCCAATAATTCCCCCATCTATACATCGAGGTCGGATTTCCTGCACTCCTTTGGTGTGTGTCTTGGTGCACTGCCAATGAGATCGTAACACGTCATGCTTTGTACGACCCTCCAGCTCACCTGTCTAGGAAATTTAAATGGCCCATTATGTTTTTGGGGTTTTTACTATCAGTCTACCCCAGAAATCCTAACTCCACCCCAGTCTAAAAATCCCATGTTTTTTGGATTTTTTTATAATAGTAATAAATTAATAAAATAAAAAAATAGAAAAAGGAAACAATTTTAAAGTTGGGAGAGAACAAGACAAGGAACTCTTTTGCAGACCAAACCTCAGAGCTGCGCAAACACCATTATCAATTGCAGACCGCCCTTTCATCGCATTGAAAGCCCTGACAAGGGGCAGGACTGTTAACTAGCGTTGGGAAGTCTCATCGCTCCTTTGGCATCTACTGTGCAGGGAACAGAGATCATAAATAGCTTCGAATATGTAAAAACAGAGAAAACAGACAGGGAGGCTGAACGCACTTATTTTCTTGCATTACTGACTAATAAATTGAAATCACAAACCTCAACGCAAATAAGATGTTATTTATTAATATTTATGGGTGGGTTTTGATTGGTCAAAACTCTTTCCATATCGAATCTTTTTTATATTATTTCCTAATTAATAAGGAAATTAGGTATATAAATACATTTGGGTCGGTGGGTAATCGATTTACAAGTTGCAATTAATTTGCCCAAGTGGTTTGTAATTAACTGCCACGTGGGTGTGAGCCAAGTCAGCTGTCCTAATTCTAATTCGAACACCCTCCCCTCAAGTTGGAGTGTGAGAAGACATAACGCCCAACTTGAGAACGAGGTTTTGAAATATTGACACCCCTAGAGCTTTGGTTAGGAGATTTGCTGGTTGATTGTTGCTATTGATGTGGAAAGTTTTGATCTCGTTATTCTAAATATGCTATTGGACAAAATGACAATCAATATCTATGTGCTTTGTACATTCATGGAAAACCAGATTGGCAGCAATGTGGAGAGTAGTTTGACTATTGTAGTGTAACTCCATGGGTATTGTGATGTGAATTGTTAGATCTGCAAAAACTCGTTTAAGCCAAATGAGTTATGATGTTGTGACCGTCATGGCTCGATACTTGACCTCTGTAGAGGATCGCGACACAGTGTGTTGCTTCTTGGTCTTCCAAGAGATTGAAGATTGTCCAAGCATTATGATATAACCCATTGTGGAGTGTTGGGTAAGTGGACAGCTAGCCCAGTTGGAATCACAGAAGGCCCGGACCACAAAATCATTAGTGGATGGGATAAAGATGCCATGATGGGAGGTGGACTTGAGATATCTAACCACTCGTAAAGCAGCCTGGAGGTGCTCTTCTCGTGGATCTTGCATGAATTGACTGAGCTGATTTTTGGAACCACATCCGTGAAGCTTGTTTGAGGCCATATAAGGATTTTTGGAGTTTGCAAACTCGTTGATCCCTATCTTTGGCAAATCCAAGAGGGATGCGCATGTAAACATCTTCTTGGAGTTCACCATGGAGGAATGCATTGTTTACATCTAGTTGATGAAGTTCCCAACATTTGGCAACAGCCACTGCGATCAGGCAACAAATAGTAACAATCTTTGCTACAGGCGTGAAGGTGTCGTGGTAGTCAAGCCTCTCGGCTTGATTATAACCTTTTGCCACCCAACAAGCCTTGTATCTCTCAATGCTGCCATTAGGTCTCAATTTGATCTTGTATACCCATTTTGAGCCCATGGTTTTCTTTCCTGGTGGTAAGTCCACAAGTGTCCATGTGTTGTTGCGCTCAAGTGCTTCAATTTCAGCTGCCATTGCCTGTCGCCATTTGGTATCATTGACAACCTCAATAAAGGAAGATGGTTCTACTTCTGAGGAAATTGTAGCCAGGCAGGCACCCGGGCTGGTGACCGCGTTAGCAAGAGATGGTGGAAGTTGGTAGTCATATGAGCGCAAGCGGGTGGATACTTACTGAGGTCTATGCGGTCATGGGGCAGGTTGAGTGAGAACTTGGTTATTTTCTTCAATGGCTATTTCTGGGCTGCCAGCGGGTGTGCTTGTAATTGGTGGTGCCTCATGCATGTCATGAACCAATGGATCAGGTGATATAGTCGAATCATGGTCGAATGCAGGCAATGGCATGACAGGAGTGGCTGATGTTGGGTATGAGGTCTGAAATGGGAATTGATCTTCATAAAATATGACATCCCACGAGGTAAAAATGTGCTCAGTGTCTATATCAAACACACGATACCCTTTTTGACCAAATGGATACCCAACAAACACACAACGTGTTGCCCTGCTAGAGAATTTGTCAGGAGGTTTGGGCTATACTTTTGCATAACAGAGACAACCAAACACTTACATATGGTTGTAAATTGGGATTTGTTGCAATAGCACTTCTGATGGTGATTTACTTGAAAGAAAGGACGTTGGTAGCCAATTAATGATATATGTGGCCGTGAGCAAACATTCATCCCAGAATGTGATAGGTAGTGAAGCTTGGAATCGTAATGCACGAGCGACTTCTAGTAGGTGACGGTGTTTGCGCTTTGTAACACCATTTTGCTGAGGGCTTGCTACGCAAGAATGTTGCTAGATTATGCCTTGTTCAGCAAAGTAGTTGAGGAGAGGAACAGAGAAAAATTCCTTGCCATTATCCGATCGAATTTGTCAAACGGAATGGCCATATTGCCTTTTTACCATAGCACAAAGGATATGGGATAGACAACTTCATATTTAAATTTCAAAAGATAAGTCCAAGTACATCTAGTATGATCATCAACAATGGTAAGAAAATAATGTGTTCCCATGTGTGATGGAGTCTTGTACCCTCCCCATAAATCACAATGTACCAGATCAAAGAGTTGAGCAGCCTGAGACTGTTGAACTGGAAATGGTAATCTGTACTGTTTGGCCCTGTGGCATGCGTCGTAGCAGTTGGTTTAAGGAAGGGTCAGAATCTCTTAGATGAGGGAAAGGTGTTGTGAAGAGGCATGTCCAAGTCGTCTGTGCCAAAGCTCTTGGTCTTTATTTGAGGTTGTAGTGAGCGCAACAAAACTATCTATAGATCCAATATTGGTGAAGTAATACAATTTGTCCACAAGTTTAGCCATCCCAATCACAGTCTGAGAGGCAAGGTCCTAGAATACATAGAATGAAGGAAAGAATAGAACAACACATTGCAGCTCCTTTGTAAGTTTGCTAATAGAGAGTAAATTGCAGTGGAATTTTGGGACATGTAAAACATGATTGATGACCAGTTTCGGTCCAAGATTAACAGTTCCGTAGTGAGACGTAGTTGTTACAATCCCATTCAGTAGATTGGTTTAGAACATTGCAGCTGAGTGCAATTAGATAATGATGTAGTAGAAGCCATATGGTTAGAAGCACCACTATCTAGGATCCATCCAATGGAAATATTGGAGTGCTTACTAAAAAGGTTTACATGTGTAGTCGATTCATGGTTCTCTCTGCTCAACAGGCCCATCAATTGGTTATATTGTCAGATGCTCAGCCCAGTAATAGGTGATTCGTCATCATTGGTGTCTACATTGGCACATGAACTCAGTTGGGGGGTCTTGCCAGACTTTGTAGAATGATTTGATTTGCCTTTCTCCCATCCGGCAGGGTAACCCACAAGCTTGTAGCATCGTTCCCTTGTGTACCCAAATTTCTTGTAATGATCACAAACGTACTTAAAACGATTGTGATTCTCGGATTCTCGAGGGTTGGATCTTGATACACTGTTCAATGCAGCCGCTTCAGGGTTGAGCGGTCCTCAAAGGGAGACAGACATCTGGTGCTGTTCTTCTTGGATCAGAAGAGAATATGCTTTGTTCAAACTCAGCTATGGATCAGATCCTAGAATGTTCGATCGGATGATGTTGAAAGATTCACTCAAATCCATCA